TTGTTTATTTGTTTTATTTTCATTTTTGTTTATTAAATATTTTCTTAAATACATAAAATCATGAAAAATATAAAATATGACATTTTTGCATTTTGTTTATTTTATTTTTATTTTCACATGAAAAAATATTTTTATTAAACTATATATTAATTATTTCTTTCTTAAATAAACTTGTAAATATAATAGATTTAGGTTAATTATTTTATCCCTTTTTTTATTTTATTCATACTTGTAAATATTTATTGTGACATACAAGAACTAAGTATTTTTCATAAAATATTATTTATTATTTAATATAAAAAAATACATAAAAATAATACATAAGAACTTTATTTTCTTTTAGAAATTAGGGTTAACTTTGTTTTTTTCAAGAATTAATTTCTTTTCCTTAAAATTATTAGGTTTAGGTTAAAACTTTTTCATATAAAAAATCAAACAAAATATTCTTTACATATACATAATATTGCATATTTAAATATTGTATTTGTTTATTCCAATATTCGTACAAATTCGATTTGGTTGTAATAGCTTATTTAGATTTACATTCTTGCAAATCCCCATTCAAATTTGTATTCCCCCCTCTCATAAATGGTTGTACTAGCTTAGTAATCTTTACATTACGCAATTTACCGCTTTCGCATACCATGCTAGTAATTAGGGTTTGAATGGTAAGATCAAAACAAAACAAATAGAAAACCCTAATCCAAGGCAAAATCAAAGCATGCAAATAACACACTTGCACACAAGCATCCTTAGGGTTTCTCCACTTGGTTACCTTATACAAAAAATGACCATATTACGCATGCGAAGTATCTTGGCAAAACAAACAAATATAAGATCATAGTCCCTCGATGACGCTATTCAAAGTTGCCTTACAAAATGATATTGGTCCCTCAACAATGCTAAGATACTTTACAATATTGCTAATCATGGTTATACGATGACCCACGCCCGTCCCGTTTACATCCAAAGATAGGGTTGCTTACCAAATCAATGGTAAGACAACAATGTTAAAGGAATAGAAAATACACAAGAAAGACATTTGAGTAGGTAGGTTACTCCTAGTTACTTGCTCTATTTCCAAACAACTATCCTTGCTATTTTCAAAAACACACACACATTTCCAAACATTTTACAAATATTGAAAACATTTTCAAAAAGACAAACATCTTTGTATACATTCTTACGAACAAGAATCATTACAAAGGTTGCCTAAACGAGTAGCCTCTTTTACAAAATACTTTCAAAGCCACACCAAACATATTTTCAAACAACAAAAGCAAGTGATCTAGCAAGTAACTAAGAGCCCATGGAAAACCATGGATGAAAAGGGTGCTAATACCTTCCTTTTTCATAATCTACCCCCCGAACTCAAGAAACAATCTCAAAGGTCTTTCCTGTGCTTTTTCACCTTTCCTTTTGGATAAAAGAAAAGTCGGTGGCGACTCTTGCTAACCGCAATATTTGAGATAAAACGAAAAACCTTCAAGTCAGTTCTTCCACCGTATCACAGTAACATTCCTTAGTGTGGCGCAACCCAGTCCAACGGATCATCCTCAACCGTGAGCACACTTGGACTACTTTGGTCAGTAGGGACCATCTCGTCATCCTCCGTAATGGCTTGTTCACCGAGCGGACCTGGCTCCAACCCCTATGACGCGGACTCTGACGCCCCCGAGGTACCCGCCTCGCTAGAAGTGCCTTCGGTGGAACTCTGGGCGGACCCACTGGGTTCAGTCAGAAACTCGTCTTCGGAACTATCAGTCATAGTATCTGAAAAGCAGAGAATAGAAGTGAGTTCGACATCGAAGTCAAATCCTTCATTCCACCGCTAATCAAGTGAAAGGGTGCCACGAAACGAGGACCATGTCTCCGACCAGAGCCCTCACTTAGGCATCAGATGAACGATCATCTCCTCTCCCGACCTAACAAACTAGAATCACCCCTGAGTACTGACAAAGAGGCAACAGAAACATCCTCGCACGAGAGTCATCCACGACTCGTCAAAGGTTATCATGATTCCAGGTTCCCAAGGGAGAAAGCACAGTGTCATCGACGACCTCACCCGGTAAAATCACCATCTACCACCAACACTCCACCTGAATATCTAAGCAAAAAGATGACCCAGACCCTAACCGCATGTATTTCTAGGAGATAAACCAGGAAATCTAATATAACGGGAGTCAAATCTACGAAGACATAGGGAATCGAAGACTTACCGAATCAAAATGATGGAATAGATGGCGGCTGTCAAAGGTTCAAGCGAGAACTTTGAAGACTGATGAAGTCGGGCATCGAAACGATGAATTCAAGCAGAAATGGGATGAACGAGCAAAAGAAATGCAAGTAAAAAGTGAAACTAAAGCTCTTTCCCCTCCTTTTATAGATTGGGTTCATCAGCGCGTGGACGAGCACATGCCTAGGGAACTCTAAAGGGCGTCATTGCGTCCTAGTCCCTAGGCTAGCCATCATCACCCCTTTTCTAACAGCACATAGCTCTAGACACACGTGACACGCCAACTCTTCAGCTTTTTGAAACCAAAACATTCCTCTCCCTGTAGGTCAATGCGCGCACGACACGATAACTGCTCGAAAAGAACACTCGGCTGCTCCCCTCCTCGCGAGGCGAACACAACGAGTGTCCCTTATGCTCCCCAAACGAGGTCGACCCAGAAGAACCCCCGTTTCGCGGGCTAGTTCTAAGTCATCATCACTCTTATGCCCAGGAACAATGACTTGGGGGCTCTGTTCTAGACTTTCCCAATGACTAGAACTGACCCAATCCGCTCATGCCCTTGGCATGACCCGATGACAGCGGCCCAACACTCTGGTCGACCACAACGCTTGTCATCCGACTAGTTATATCCGACATACACGCCTGACCAGATCAGCGAATGTCTCCCATCGGCCTGACACGAGTCGGGCAGACACCCAGGAGACGACCAAAATGACCATTTTCCCGTAATCCTACTCCTCGGAACTAGACATGGCAACGAGGCGGGGCAGGGACGGTTTTTGTATTCCCCAAACCCGAATTCAAAATAAATCCTCGTTACTCGCCCCAATCCCCGTCGGGGATGAATAATTGAATCCCAAACTTGTCCCAAATGGGTTCGGGGATCCCCGCCCCGCCCCCAAACCCAAAATATATCTAAAACACAAAAGCTTCCCCAAACCCAAAATTCACCCTGAACTTAAAACCTATCTCAATCTTAACATATATTAACTTATATTACAAATATAAAATACAATCTCGAAGAATTTTAAACATATATTTCGAATAATAAAATACTAACAAAAGTATTAATTTATCAACCATACAATTAATATTTCAAATTAACAAACCAAATAAACCAAGAAACTATAACAATAAATAGATTTAACAAATTGGAATATTGTAACGACATATAATTGTGATACTGTAATGACATATATTGTTAAATCATATATATTACAATATAATAATAATAATAATAATAATAATAATAATAATAATAATAATAATAATAATAATAATAATAATAATAATAATAATAATAATAATAATAATAATAATAATAATAATAATAATAATAATAATAATAATAATAATAATAATAATAATAATAATAATAATAATAATAATAATAATAATAATAATAATAATAATAATAATAATAATAATAATAATAATAATAATAATAATAATAATAATAATAATAATAATAATAATAATAATAATAATAATAATAATAATAATAATAATAATAATAATAATAATAATAATAATAATAATAATAATAATAATAATAATAATAATAATAATAATAATAATAATAATAATAATAATAATAATAATAATAATAATAATAATAATAATAATAATAATAATAATAATAATAATAATAATAATAATAATAATAATAATAATAATAATAATAATAATAATAATAATAATAATAATAATAATAATAATAATAATAATAATAATAATAATAATAATAATAATAATAATAATAATAATAATAATAATAATAATAATAATAATAATAATAATAATAATAATAATAATAATAATAATAATAATAATAATAATAATAAACGGGGTGGATTCGGGGACGATTTCATGGTGGGTACTACACTCCCCATTACTTGTCTCGTCCCCGTATATTGAAATCGGGGAAAACTCAAATTCGAACCCAAATCCAGCCAAAGCGGGTTTTCCCCGTCAAATTCGGGACGAGTACCCACGGGTATGGGTTATCTTGTCATATCTACTCGGAACAAACGGCTACTTACGAGCATACCTGCCGTTTTGATTCAGTCCTGACAGTTACCTATTTTGCGGACCCGTTATATCTAAGCCCAAAAATAGGAACCAATAACTATGTGTTGGAGGAACATTATATAAACTCTGACACATGTGAGAGCCATGTATTCACTATCTCACACATTAAACCCTGATATTTTGTTTGCATCTATTTGCTCTCACACTTACTTGATCGTCGTAGTGCTTTGCAAGTACACTCTCTTTTCTCTTCAATTTTTTAATCAATCAAAGATCATCTTTCGACTCAATTGTAGATTCTGATTAACCGATAAATCACAATCTAAGAAAATATTCATTAATAAATTGGATCTTTCTTGGACAAGAGTATGTCGTACGGTGGTGCAACTAGTGTTGCTTCAGGGTTCTCACATGGGTGAGATAGAACAAACTACGAGGGTTGAATACCAGAACTTTGAGAACAAATGCAGTGATTGAAGAATGGATTGATTATCGAAGTACATCAAGTGTTTGGACACATCAACTTAGCATTATGAATATGGATTACATTTTTTACATTAAGATAGACTCATTTTGCTATCTTTCATAAAAAACATGTTGCAGCCAAAATTGTGGTTGCAATTTTTTTTCCCATAACCCTGTACACTACAATCACAATCATAAAACAACATAAAACAATAGCTCTATTGCCTACTCTATCAAGATCTCTCCAATTCAGATGCAGCAAAGCTTTTCAGGACTTGATAGTTACACTCCACAAGCACAAACCAGATGGTTTTATATCAGTAGTCCCCCACTCCGACCCCGGCGATGCATTCGGATCATACAACAAAGTCCTATATGTAGAATCTTCTTTCAGAGAAAACAACAAAAGCTTACCATTAAGTATCCCAAATCTAAAACCAACACTCGAACTCCCCGTCAGAGGCAGCGATACTGTTTTCCATGAATTATCATCAGGATTGAATATCGATAACTTTCGTTGATTCTTCCACTCCATACAGAACAATTTCTTTTCAAGTACTGCATGAGCAGTGACCATGACACACCCATTTTTCATCTCACACCACTTTCGCTTCTCAGGATCGTAAACATCGATAGACTTTGAGTTTCCGATTGTAAAACTTGACCTTCCGCCCATCACATAGAGCTTCCCCTCGAATCCACAGGCAAAACAACCCCATCTTGGACGGCGAAGACTCTCTATCATTGTCCACTTGTTAGTATCCGGATCATACACCTCGACGCTAGAGAGACTGTCGCCTTCTGCTCCATATCCTCCAACTGCATAAACCAAGCCATTGACTTCTGCACAGGCGAAAGCGTACCGAGCCACATTCATGTTTGACAATCTACTCCAGCTGCAATAGCAATTACTAACTTTAAATATAACAACTTATTTGAATAATAAATTGAGATGATTTCCTCGAATAACATACTACAAGTCCAAAATTTGTCACAGTTAAACAGAGTCTCATAAAATATTTGTCAGACTCCGAGAAGCATACCTGTCGAGGTTAGAGTTATATTGGAAAACCTCTGCCGAGACAGAAACAGCTCCATCAATTAATGAATGACCAGCCATAACAAGAAAACTTCCGTTAATAACAGCGACACCGAACTCCACCTTCCATGGACCAGGCATGGTGGAAGAGATCGGCGATTATGACCAAAAGAATCCATAACCTCCCAATGACTTCCTTTTCCTTCACTATCAGATGTCAAGATATAGAGCCATTCCTCAATCTGCCCGCCAATTTCGCACTGTTATGATTCTTTGCTCTGAATAAAACCCTTCCATCTCTTAGAAACACGACCCATAGCTAGAAAATTCGAACGAGGCACCAGTGCAAGACAATACTTTGAAACATCATCAGACAGACCAGCAAGAATAGGACTATTCTCATCATCATCAATAGCCTCAGCGTTCCAAACAGCTAACTTATCTTGATTTTCCAAATTGGAATAACTCATATTTTTTCTTGTAAATTTTTTCTCACACCAATGAAACCAGGCATTTTTCAAATCAGCAATTGCAACACAATCTTATAAATAGAATAGAAGACAAACTTTTACATGAAGAATGAATGAAAGAGGTTATGAATGGTAAAGGGAAATGCAAATGGATATAGATATGTAAGAAGAAAGTAACTTGAGAGTTTATTTATAGGAATTGGAATGGGTTGGAGACAAGATAGATAAAAGTGACAGCGCTAAAACACGTCATTGTTACATGTTTTTCACCCTCATATCTGAGTGTGTTGTGTTGAATGTTGATAACAATAAACTTTGGATAATTGTTTCTTTATTTGCCATTGGAAATTGTTTAATCATCTAGATATATATAAGTCATTTTAAGTATTAGATTTTGAATATTTTCCTTAATATTATATTTGTTGACAAATTCTTTTTACTAATTATTGATAAGGTCATTGAAGTGTACTTTTTTGAGGTTGATAGAATCTTATCTTCACTTAAAAATCCGTGTGAGGAGACGTATTTATATTTATCCATTTTAATATTTTTTAGAAAATTAATATTATCCAAACTATACATTTTTTGAAAGTCAGATTGGTACATAATCCAAATTATGAA